AATGAGCGGCTGGGCAATGGGCTTAATACCAGAACAGTAAAGGCACTCAGCAACCTAATTATCCGCCCCACTCCTACTATTCGTTACCAAACCTAACAACAAACGAGCTGACGCGAAGTCGGTTCATTTCACATTATGTTTCAGCTTTGTGACCGTCGCTCCCTCTCTCCCTCCATTTATTTAGAATGGACTGAACGCTCTTCACTTGGCCTCAAAGGAGGGCCACGTGGCGGTCGTCCGACTGTTACTGGATCATAACGCAGTTATCGACGCAAAGACCAAAAAAGGCAACACACCTCTCCACATCGCCAGTCTCGCGGGTCGGACAGACATCGTCCGGCTGCTGGTGGACCGTGGCGCAGACGTGAACGCGCGATCACAGGTATGGCTGAGGTGTCCAGTGACCATCCCTAGCCGGTTTCGAACTCTGCCGTGAAAATAATCCCCCATAGGCTATATACGTAAGGTGTGGCGTTTCCAACTGCCTGCACTAACCATGTAGACACCATTTTGGTCCCACTGGTTCGCCATTAAAACCGATGTCGTATATTTTATCTTCTGGAACCAATTTTCTCTCGGTTTTAGAATGGCTTCACGCCCCTGTATATGGCGGCTCAAGAAAATCACGCTGAGATTGTTCAATTCCTGCTGAACAAAGGAGCAAATCAAGCCTTGGCTACAGACGTGAGTTTCGAAGAATTGAATGCGCTATCACACCAATTAAAGGCTCAAATTAATCTGTTTTGACTGTAGAATGAAACTGAGAACATTGGCTATCGCCTGTCAAATAATTAGTCAATACTGGTTAAATCCGGAATCGTATTGGTTTTGGGAAGCGGGTGTCTTAACCCATCGCGACCGGGGGATTTACTTACAACACTAGTCCCGAGAGCAAGAAACACGGCAGTACAAAAACGCACAGAGACCTGACACTTTTTGGCCAAACGGGTGTGAGTGTCCTCGTGTTTGCGGTAGAGGCATGTTCTTATTTTGCCCTGTTCACACTTTCCAGATGTAACACCTCTAATTATAAACACGCACGTGTCCAGAGGCAAAACCTCAGACGAAAACAGCATATTGAAACTTTTCAGTGTACAGGGAGGTTTTTGGTAGGAGGGAGGCTGAAACGCGAGAGAGAAAACGGAATCGTTAGTTCTGGCCAATTGACGGTTGCGAGCCCGTCGCAGATAAGACTGTAAGGCCAATACAGAAAACGGTTATGCCTCCACGCGAACAGATTGGTGAAGTAGCCCTTCGTATGAATTCGATTGCTGTTTCTAACTGTGCACTTGTGAGAAACCAAACATAGCTATTTATGTCTCCTGAACCGCAACAAGTGCTCAGGAAGGAGTTTTGACAATTCTTTCTGGCACCCAGTTGTACAGTGTTGTGGAAGTTGGTTTTTTTCAGGGAGTATGAGCGCTGCCCTCTGTGTATTGTCTGCAGTTCCTGGATTTTCCATCTGCCTGGTGGGTTAGAGGAGCAAGAGGGCTGTCTACAGACTCGTTTATCATCATAAAACCCTGACAAGTTGATGTATTTGAGGCCTTATCAGATTCTTATGTTTTACTTTTATGACGACATCGTTCCTACCACAAGATTAGCACAATTACAACCCAATCCGCATAGTACTGGGAAGAAAATAACTCGCGAATAGCGGGCTGTGCAGTTTTGTGGGCCCCGACTTCCATTTGCGCAAGTTGGCAGTTATCGTGACCACTCGCTCTCAGAAGCTGGTCAGTAAAAACCAAAAGTGGAGGACAGTTGTGCCTACTAAGTATTTTGTACTTCTTTGTCGCCTTTTGGCGCTTCTTTCGGACAGAAGGTTTAAAAATTATTCTCACCCGACAGGCGATTTTGTCCGCGCGGTAGAAGGAATTCCTGTTACAGCTAATGGCCACAACCGCACTTGGATCATTTAAAGGTCCGCAAGTGTGTTTTCTTCTTCCGATGGTAATGACCGAACATGAACTGGTTTAATTGCCGGAGGCAGGGGGGAGGGGGGATGTTCTATCCTTCATCTGTGGGCATTATTTGGCCATAAACTATCGAGTAGTAACTCGGTGATGGTAGGCACTCAGGGGGGGGTTGAATGCTTTTCCTTTATGGTTAAACCGTAAAGCTGAGAATAACATCCAAAAAACCTTCCCATTCTCTGTTATTTTCACTTGGTATATGGCCTGTTAAGGACTGTCCATACTTCGCTGTTGTCGGGGTATTCATGTAGTACTTTTGTTCCCATTTTCGGTACAGGATGGCTTTACGCCCCTGGCTGTGGCACTTCAACAGGGGCACGAGGGTATAGTCGCCCTTCTGCTTGACCGTGACGCTGGGAGCAAGGGACGTCTTCCAGCTCTTCACATCGCTGCCAAGAAGGACGACGTGCATGCTGCTACGCTTCTTTTAGCGAACTCTGAAGTCAACGTTAACCACACATCTGCAGTAAGTTTCGGTCACTCCTTCCTGACATGAGCCGTCCACGAGGATATATTTATTCCTTCGATATACTTATTATTAATATTACACTCTGATATTTATGTATAGTTACCCTAATGGATAAAACAGTAAGGTTGTTGAAGGCATTGATATGTGGGATACGATGTGGTCCAACCAGGTAATAGACGATAGACCGTATCTCAACATTTATAAGCTGGAAGATATGATAAGGCATGGAAGGCCAGGGTGTTATTGATAATTTAATGAAGTGTTTAATGAGTAGAATATAAGTAAACGAGTAAGTGACTCCCAGACTAGTGCACTCCAGCCATGAGTGGGCTGGAGTCCAGAGTCGCATTCCGTTCGGTGTAGTCGCCGGGTCTGGAGGTCTGCAGCAGGCAGTAGATCGCCTGCTCTGGGAGTGACTGATCGTCAACAATTCCCTGCTCCATGGGCCTTTGTGGACTGCCCTTGAGAAGTGGTTGGCGAGTGAGCCAGACAGAGGAGGACCTTGAACGGGGGGGTTTAATATCGTCTCTTGCGCACGCGTGGTGGTCATGCCAGACATGACCTGTCCCCGCGGCGTCCAAGAAAAGCATGGTTAAGAAGTATAAGGTCGTTACAGATACTTACCCTAAACTATGTTGAACCTCTTGGTCCGATGAAAAATCAATTAGTAGTTGTTAGTTGAGGATAATTACCGGATGATTAATCACGTTACCATTGCCAGTTCAACAGCATCAGATGGTAACGTCTGCCACTGTCGCACGACGTGAGCTGAGCAGCAGTGACTTGCGTTTAAATTAGTTTATGGTGGGACGCAACATCTGCCGCATCCTGTCCTTCTTCACCCGTATTTCTCCGATAACACGACAAAGTCAAGGCACGACCGGAGGTAGGCGCGGGCACAGTGCCTGACAAAGAAAGACAGCCAATCCACGTGTGCCACATAAGATTTGTTTCTAGCTCCATATGTACCAGACTACAACAATGAGGGCGGCTCCGATCGCACATAGATGGGAATGCCACTAAAGCCACTATCGGGAAGAGCCATTGCTGCCACCAGACTATCAGTCCTGAGAACAGTCGCGTCATCCTGCCAGTTGGCAGCCTTCACGACTCTTCACGACTCTTAACACGTCGTGATAGCTTCAAGCACGTCTGATTTCTTCTAGTGAGGATGGACATAACTACTCTATGAATTGGAATTCATAGGGGAGGAAGGGGTTGACAATGACGAATACAAAGGTGAAGTGCTCTTTGGGCTAGTCGATAATGACTATAGCCACCAAGAAAACGTCGATAAATGTTTGTATAAACCAAAAGCCTTGAAGAATGCTGTCAATTAGTCCCTGTAAGGCTTTGCGACTTTTTGAAGGCCGAAGAGCGTGCGTAGGAATTCTAAGAAAACTGATGGAATTTTGATCGCAGCAGTTTTTTAAATTTACAACAGAGTTCGATATTATGCTACAGGGTGCCCCACAAAAAACCCCTAAGTTTGTGATTGTTACGGTGGCCG